AAAAAACTTGGTACTCATGCAATCCAACCAACCCACGGCAATTGAAATACGGAATGACCGCCTCTAGTCAAGCCGTTCAAGGTCGTTGAAACGAAAGAGCGGGCACATTTCAAAAGGACCTAACGTTTAAACCTTGCCATGGAGGTGAGTTGTTTGCAGTGCAGGTCGGGAAATTTGGTTGCTGTCTATGTTCAGTTTTACTTAAGTGAATTATTTCTTTCAGAATAATAATAGACAGCTCGATAAGATTGCGAAAAGGCGGGCAGCAGACACTAAATACCCTAGGTTGTTTGGCTGAGGTTGAGGCTGGATTTGCCCCGGTGGAATTTCCAGTTGTCAACACTTCAACAGGAACGTTTTCTCCGATTGCGAGGTTTGTACCTACTTTATCAATACTCATAGATTAGTTCATCGAAAGCTAACCTTTCATCACCACCAATTCTACGTACGTCGACTGAAGGTGATAAACCGTAAGTTGCATTTACTTTATTCCTGATAACGAAAGTTTGTGCGATGATACAAACAAACTGTTAAGAACGCTCCTGAAATCGGTCAGTGAGCTGTCTACGAAAATAGACAAAATGCTATTTTTGTATGAACGCTTAGCCATGGGTGTAACTCACGGGCGTACAGAGGAAATGGATAGTGATGCAATCACTTTCCCATTACGAACGCATGACGAGTTGCGTTCTTTAGAGACAGCTTTAGAGAACAAAAAATTTCGGGATCATTTCGTAAGTTGTAGTCGGTGTTTGAAGAAATTTTAGATGGGAAGATTATACCATCTACCATGTGATGATCTTCGGAAATCAGCAAAAGCCTGTCTGAAATACCTCCTTTCTCCGGAACTGGCAAACACGTACACCTTGCACGGAACCAGAAGAAAATTCGGGATTAGTAAATACAAATTTTACTCCACGGTTCAAAGTAAGTCCACATTACTGTATCAACATATTTGTTGGTGCATTGTGTTCACACTTCCGGAGTGCGACCTGTTCGGAAACGGAGATCACGCACGCCATGGCTACAGCAAGCCAGGCCTTGTTGCATGACGCAAGAGATAAAGTACATAAACGTGGATGGCAATCCAAAGAAAGGGTGAGCTAAAACTACTTAATTTGTTTGTTATAATACATATGTTAACTTTGTCACACATTGTTCCTACTCGTTCCCCTTCCTACTGTTTTGTATATTGTTTAATACCACTTAATAAAATGAAGTATTCAGTTGTATTCCCAATAACTGAAGTTCACTTTGGGGTTTTCCCCAAAATTCACAGGATGTTAATTATCATTATATTTATCACTATAATCACTGTACTTTAATTACTGTAACAACTTATGACTTTGTGATCAATACTCAAAGTAATATAACTTGTCTCTTGTATGTTTCCCTTTCAGCTGGCTTCGCAGGCTTTATCAGACGTAACTGTAAGTTCTTTGTTCGCATTATTAAGAACATTGTTATATTGTTGGTACATCACCAAACTTTCACATATCTTGGCACGTTATTATACACTAAAAATGATTTATTTATTTATTTTTTAGAACATTATCAATGACAGTTCTACGTCTACGTAAGGTGTTGCTGTTACAACGCAATGAAAAACTTTGTATGAATGATTCATTTGTAATTTTATTAACTGTAATAAACATTTATATATTTCATAAATCAGTCTTTTGATAATCGCGACAAATCGGTTAACATTAGGTTTCATTAGCAATGCGCGATTGACGAAAAGTAATAAGACGTCGCAGTAAGAAATGTACGTAAGCATACTCCTAGGTCTTCCGTGATGTCGATAGGCTTTCGAGAAGCTTTTGCGTCAAAACAGTTTTCCAGGAAAACCCAAAGGTTTTGGGAAGCTTCCTCAAAATGATATAACTATCGTGTCCGTTCCCCTTCCACCCGGCTTCGCAGGCTTTAACAGACGTCACCATAGTGTATTTGTGCTTTTGTATATTGTTTTATACTACTTACAAGAATTCAGTAGTCAGTTGCATTACCAATAACTTCAGTTAACTTTGTGGATTTCCCCAGGTCTGGGGAAATTTTGGGTTTTTTTCCTCATTTCCCCAAAATTTATTATAGCGGCTTCCCCAAAATGGACTCAATTTTCCCCAAAGTTGGAAGCCTGGGACTATAGAAAAAAACCTACAAGTTTAGTAAATTTCCATTTTACGTTATATTTAAACCAACGAATATATATATATATATATATATATATATATATATATATATATATATATATATATATATCAGTTATTGACATAAAATGTCTTTTTATAACGCTAATGTTAAGTTCCAGGACTTTGTATGGGCCACTAATAATAATTGGTTTAACGTTAGCATAGTCGTGATATTCATATTGTCAGTTCAATGTTATGATTACTAAACAGTTCCCTTATAAGTTGTTTAAAATTAGGTATGTGGAATCAATGCGGCTGACATAGTAACCTTACAGTAACGCACTGTACTATATCTTCACGGTTATTGATTCTTAAATGTCAGAAATTAAAAAAATCTGAATATTGCCAATAAAGATGGGTTATATGATCACACTAAAAACCATGCTGCAGGGAAACTGGTTAAGTGATTACGTAAGTTTCCTAAACATGAAAAAATGATGAGAACTTTAATAAGTACTTGACCATGGTTTAATCCAAAATGTTTTGTCTAGAAAATTACTTATTAATAGTAGTATTAATCGTATCAAGCTACTAAACATATCCCCAACCGAAAACTTTTAGAAGTAGTTCATATGGTATATATGTATAGCCAGTCTACGTGAAAAATGTATATAAATATATAAGAAGTACAGCCAAGATAGTTAATTAACTAGAAAAAGAAATTATAAAACTCGCCTGGGTTGTTTTTTGAATTCGTTGTATTTGCCAGTGTTAGTTGTATGAGTTTGATTAAAATCCTCACCCACAGTTTCGGAATACCTAGCTTATGTGTCCAGTATTTAAAAAAAATTTAACATAACACGTCTATATCAAAGGTAAAAGGTCTGGGGAGTTGTCGGTGAGGCGGAATGAGGAAAAAAATTATTTTTAAGTAGATGCAGGGTGTGATTAGCTGCGTGGTTAGATTTTATCCTGCAGCCGAAACTGTCAACATCCTTGACTGACTAATTGGATGTGCCCAGCAAACCGTTTTAGTCATTTGTAAAGATTTATTATCTTTACATTTCGATTCCGTAATGGATTTGTTAGTTAAACGATCTAACCACACTTATGGTGGTTCATGATCTAGATAAGCCGGCTTTAGCCTATCAATACTTACTGTGTCGATGTTTCCATGTTTTTCTATCACGAAATATTTAGATTTTCTCGAGACGACTTTGAAAGGACCTTCAAATGGAGGACTGAGTGGTGCTTTTATTTTGTCACATATTATCCAGACGTGCGTGCAATTGCTTAGGTCTTTTGGTGTATATACGGCGCGCGATTGTTCACGAGTATTAATCGGCTTAAGTTTAGACATGTGGTCCCGTAGTTGATCTACGTAATTTTCTAAATTAAGTTTTTGACTGTTAGTATTAGGGTTAATAAATTCACCTGGTAGTCTCAGAGTTGTTCCGAAAACCAGTTCCGCAGCTGAACACTGAGCGTCAGTTTTGACAGATGTTCGTATTCCCAACATAACTAACGGTAGGAATTCTGTCAACTGATTGGGGTTTGAGTGAGATATAAGGGCGGTTTTTAGCTGACGGTGAAAACGTTCTACCATCCCATTAGCCTGAGGATGATATGCAGTGCAGCGTATCCTATTGGAGCCTAGAAGTTTAGCAAAGTTATTAAATAGTTCGGATTCGAATTGCGCTCCTCTATCCGTCGTTATTGTTATGGGTGTACCAAAAATGGTTACCCAGGTCTGCATGAAAACTTTGGCTACTGTTTCCACTGTGATGTCCGCTATCGGAATGGCTATAGGGAATCTGGTAAATCGATCTATGCATGTAAAAAGATAATTAAAACCGTTTGAACGTGGTAAAGGACCTACCAAGTCGATATGCACATGGGCAAAACGTGCATCTGGTTGCGAGAAAACACCTATGGGTGAATTTGTGTGACGATTAATCTTTGATTGTTGACATGCTGAACACTCTCTAACCCATTTGTGTACATCCTTCTGTAAATTCGGCCATATATATCTGGCATTGACTAGTTTTGTTGAAGCTTTCGCGCCAGGATGAGACAAAGAATGAAAGTTATTATATATCAACTTTCGCATATTTTTGGGAACGAAAGGTCGCGGCATTGCCTTGGTCGTGTCACAATAAATTAGAATACCATCGATAGGTGATGGGAATTGTTTTAAATTAAGACTTGAATTGTTTGCTTTAAGTAGGTTTTGTAATTCTAGGTCCTGCTCTCGTTCGTGTCTTAACGTCTCGAAGTTTACTGTAGACTGCTGTAGCATGTTCATTTCTAGTCTGGATAAAGTATCTGTCGCCTGATTGTCCTGACCTTTGACATGTCGGATATCGCTTGTGAACTGTGATATATAGTCAAGGTGTCGGACTTCTCGAGGTGAGTATTTATCGGCTCTCGCTTTTAATGCATTCGTCAGTGGTTTGTGATCCGTAAAGACTATAAATTCCCTACCTTCTAACATGTGTCGGAAGTGTTTAATGGTCAGGTAGATTGCAAGAAGTTCTCGCCCGAAGGTAGAATACCTTGTTTCGGCTGGAGCGAGTCTTTTCGAGAAGAAAGCAATTGGTTTCCAGGCGTTTTTAACCAGTTGGTTAAGGGTACCGCCTACTGCTTTATCTGAAGCATCCACCATCAAAGCGAGTGGGGAAAGAGAATTCGGATCTATCAACGTAGTTGCTTGAGCCAGTTTACCTTTAAGCTGTTTAATAGCTTCGATGGCGTCAGAAGACAGGTTGAATTCTTTTGGTTTTCCTTTAAGTGAATCTGTCAGAGGTTGCATTAATTGCGCACAACCTGGTATGAATCTGCGATAAAAGTTAATTAGGCCTAGAAAACTTCTCAGTTGTGTTAGAGAACTAGGTACAGGGTATTGTTTGATGGTATCCACTTCTTTTTTGATAGGTTTAATTCCTTCTGGGCTTATTGTGTGACCGAGAAATTCTAAAGTTTCAACACCGAAAACACACTTACTTTGATGTATGTTTATTCCATGTTCATCCAGTCTTTTCAACACTGCTTGTACATGCTGTTCGTGTGATTGCAAATCGGGGCTGGCAATTAACAAGTCGTCTATATACCCCTGCGCAAATCGCATATCTCGAAGTAGGTTATCTATGAATCTTTGAAATGTCTGTGTCGCATTTCTCAGGCCGAATGGCATGCGTACAAACTCGAATAAGCCAAAAGGTGTTGTAATAGCTGTCTTGGGAATATCTTCATCAGCCACCGGGATATTGTGATATGCCCTGACTAAGTCAATTTTAGTGAATATGTTCATACCCTGTGAACCGTTGGTGAAATCTTGGATATGAGGTATTGGGTACCTATCTGGTACGGTTTGACGGTTTAGGGCTCTGTAATCCCCGCACGGTCGCCAGTCACCTTCATTCTTCTTTGGGACCATATGCAAAGGGGATGCCCATTGACTATCAGAGGGACGGATAATACCCAATTGTAGCATATAATCAAACTCGACCCTAGCGATTTTGAGCTTATCTGGTGCTAGTCTCCTGGGTTTTGCAAACACCGGTGCACCTTCGGTTTTGATAGTGTGACTCACTTTTAGTTTGTCCTTAGAAGGCTGTGGGTTTGGTTTAGTTAAGTTTGGAAATTCCGCGAGTATATCTTGGAATTTCGCTGTTGTTACTGGGGGAGTTTGAATCAAGTTAAGAGAGCTGATGTGACTTTCTTTGCCTTTTGTGTAATACGAAGTTTCTTTTAGTGTTAATCGCCGTTTCTTGGTGTCAACTAGAAATTCGTATCTCTCTAAAATGTCCATCCCCAGTATTGCCAGATCTAAGTCGGCTACCGTGAAAACCCAAGGGAATTGCCTCCTGAACCCCAAATCTAGGGTTTATTTATTTTGGAGCGGTAAATAAATCCCCAAAATAAATAGCACTAAGTTTTCGACATTGGATGCTGACCATATGTTTTAGTGGACTCATCTAGCTGAAGGCGCTCGGTCAGGCATCCGCACCAGATCACGTGTGGTAACGCCGTGCTCAACATCAACCGCAATCGCTAGCCAGATTAGATCAGAGAATTCCGATATATTGGTCATCGCCAAATATACTCTTCCGATCTCCTCGACTCTGTCTTTTGATTTCTCTGGGCGGGAACGAAATATATTAGAAGGTGTTACTGGTAGAAGCGTTGTCAAACACTGAATACCTGTGACATCATCATTGGTGAGACCGTCGTGATCTGGTACACCTAATTGCAACTGTGAGTCTGTTCCTTTTTGGGATTTTTATATATCATTGCCTTATTTTTTTATTTTTTTTTAAACATTGTGATTTTTTTTTCGTGTTTTTTCCTGGATATATATATTTTCCCCTCGTTCATTATCGTACTTCATACTTCGTCATGACTGAACAGACACCTAAAGTACTCAAGCTTAAGACTTTGTCCCCGCCTTCGTTTCAACTGATGCCTTTCTGGCCCGACAACATCGAAGCCTGGTTTTGCTACGCAGAAGCCGACTTCTCCGAGCACGGCGTGATCGACACACGTGCACAATTCCTCGCAGTAGTCAAGGCACTACCGCGCGAATTCAACAGGTACGTAACACCTAGTATGTTTACTAGTGATGTTTCCGATCCTTACGAAATCTTAAAACGCTCGATTCTTAAACGAGGAGACCTAACCGATCGACAAAGGTTAGATCAACTCTTCAACAATATCGACCTGCAACACGGTTCTGCGACAGACATGTTGCAACGGATGAGAGAGGTTATAGGCCCAAGAACTTTCGACGAAGGCCTATTCAAACAACTCTTCTTGTCAAAACTTCCCCAACAGGTGCAAGCAGTTCTGGTCTCGTTCCAGAACAACGCCTTAGACGAGCTAGCTGCATCTGCCGACCGCATTTTAGAAATTACGAAATCTACTACCGAGGTATTTTCAGTCAAAGAAAAACCTCAAACGACTCAGAATGATATAAACGACTTATGTCACACACTCACGCGTTATCTTAGTCTTCGTACTGACCGTAAGAGATCGCGCACACCACGTAGAAGCATTTCTCGTAAGAGATCTGTCTCTAGACCACGAGAGACAGATAACTCCGACTGGTGCTGGTATCATAACCAGTATGGAAAGTTTTCCAGAAATTGCAGGAAACCCTGCAATTTTCCCAACACGAAACCGACTGATTCGAAAAGCAATTCGGGAAACTTCCAAGCCGGCATGCGTTAACGGCAACCGTAGCCGGCGAACAAAGCCGTCTGTTATTCGTCACAGATGTGACAACGAGAGTTCGCTACCTCGTCGACACTGGCGCAGAAGTTAGCGTTCTCCCAGCAAATCCTAACGACCGACTACACGAATCGACCCTAAACTTACAGGCGGCAAACGGAAAACCGATCGCTACGTATGGCAAAAGGTACGTTTACCTTAACGTGGGTTTACGCAAACCCATCCACTGGATTTTCGTTGTTGCAGATGTTTCTATGCCAATCATTGGTATGGATCTTCTACAACACCACAATCTGATCATCGACACGCGCAAACGGAGGCTAGTAGACGGTAACACTAATTTGTCCGTTTGCGTAACTTCTTTTACTGGTTGTAGAGTATCCCCAGTCACAGTTAAACATATGATAGACCCACTCTATCAACCACTACTCGATAAGTACCCTGAGATACAACAAACTCAAACGAAACTACCGTGTGTAACCAGCAATGTTACACATCACATCACGACTACAGGACCACCTGTATTTTCTAAAGCACGCCGACTAGCTCCTGAAAAGCTAAGGTTAGCGAAAAACGAATTCGATCACATGATGGACTTAGGAATCATACGACCGTCAAGTAGCCCATATGCATCTCCGTTGCACATGGTCCCTAAAAAGGACAGCAACGATTGGCGTCCAACTGGTGACTATCGGCGATTGAACGCGAAAACCATTCCCGATCGTTACCCGTTGCCTCACATTCACGATTTGACAGCCACCTTGAAAGGTACAACTGTCTTTTCGGAAATCGACTTGGTTAAAGCGTATAACCAAATCCCTATGGCTACTGACGACATACCGAAAACGGCTATCATAACTCCCTTCGGACTATATGAATTTTTGCGAATGCCTTTCGGTCTAAGGAATGCTGCTCAAACATTCCAAAGATTCATAGACGACGTTTTTCGAGGCCTCAACTTCGTACACGCGTATGTTGATGACTGTCTAATCGCAAGTCCGGACAGAGAAACACATCTCAAGCATCTGGATCTTGTTTTCGAACGACTTCAAAAACATGGCATAACTGTAAACGTTCAGAAATGCCAATTCGGAACCGACTCGTTAGACTTCCTAGGACACACTATCGATGCTCAAGGCATTCGACCTCTTAGGACCAAAGTGGCGGCCATTCTGGATTACCCAGAACCGACCACCGTCAAGCAATTGCGCACGTTTAACGGCCTGGTAAGTTTCTATAGACGTTTCATACCCAAATGCGCATTACTTATGAAACCTCTGACCGACCAACTTCGTGGAAATGCGAAATCCATTAATTTGGACGACACCGCACGAAAAGCATTCTCCACAGTTAAGGAACTGATTGCTAAAGTAACAATGCTTGCACATCAGGACACCCGAGCACCCATTAGCATCGCAGTAGACGCATCCGACTTGGCAATCGGAGGAGTCTTACAACAATGGGTTAACAACTCCTGGCAACCCTTGGCCTTTTTCTCTAGAAGGTTGCTAGACACCGAATCGAGGTACAGCACATTCGGTGGGGAACTCCCTGCTATGTATTGTGCTGTACGGCATTTCCAACACTACATCGAAGGTCGTGAATTCACTCTTTTCACGGATCATAAACCGCTTACTTTCTCGTTAAGCTCTCCTTCTGACAAGTACTCTCCACGTGAGTCTCGACAACTGGACTACATTTCGCAGTTTACTTCAGATATTCAACACATCTCTGGAGCAAACAATGTAGTTGCAGACGCTTTATCTCGCATAACTTCCTTGAACAGTTTCCAAGGAATCGACCTTCTTAAACTCGCCGAGCTTCAAAAAGAAGACAGTGATCTTCAGCACGAGTTATCGTCCACAACACTTAAACTACGCATCAAACAGATGGGAACAGGTAACGAAACCTTACTTTGTGACACATCTACAGGTAGGGATCGCCCAATCGTGCCGAAACATTATCGACGCAATGTCTTCAACACATTGCACAAACTTTCGCATCCAGGTGTTCGTGCAACCATCAAGCTTATAGCAGAAAGGTTTTGCTGGCCTGGAATGAATAAAGACGTGAGGGAGTGGGCACGCTCCTGTGTAAGCTGCCAAAAATCTAAGGTTATAAGACACAATAAATGTCCCTTAGGCTCGTTTAAAACTCCCGATGCTCGTTTCGACCATGTTCATTTGGATTTGGTAGGACCTTTACCAGATTCAAATGGATACTCTTATCTCTTAACCTGCGTAGACCGTTTCACTCGATGGCCAGAAGCAGTACCTATCAAAGACATCACTGCTGAAACAGTGGCCCGCACCTTCGTCGAACGATGGGTAGCAAACTTCGGCTGCCCTTCAACCATCACTACAGACCGCGGACGTCAATTTGAATCTGATCTTTTCCGTCGTCTGACCACTCTTTTAGGAAGCACTCGCTTCCGAACGACCGCCTACCATCCACAAGCAAACGGGTTGGTAGAACGTTTTCACCGACAACTAAGAGCTTCACTATCAGCTGAAAACGTTTCACAGTGGACCGACGCTCTTCCACTCTTCTTACTAGGTATCCGCAATGCAGTGAAAGCTGACATTGGATACACTGCGTCTCAACTCGTTTATGGTACGACACTTCGACTTCCAGGAGAATTCGTGGATCCTTCATCCTCATCAATGAACATGGATCTAACCTCCTACACGAACGGGCTTACAAACGCAATGCGTTCAGTTAAACCTGCTTCCACTCGACCTCAATCAACTGATGTTTTCGTTCAACCTGACTTACGATATAGTACACACGTTTTCGTTCGTCGAGACTCTCATCGACGACCATTCGAATCAGCATACGAGGGACCTTTCAAAGTTCTTCAACGTGAATCTAAGTACTAAATAGTCGATAAGAACGGAACAAACGATAGCATCAGCATCGATCGCTTAAAAGCAGCGTATTTAGAAGGAAATCCTATTCACGTCGACTTTCCTTCGGTACAATCGAACGGCACGACTCGGACACTTATAATACCTCATCCGACAACCAACACACACGATGATACTTCGACAGTATCCGAAAATAAACTTAAAACGACGCGTTCTGGAAGAAGGGTGAGATTTCCAGAACATTTAAACGACTATTGCACGTAAGGCACTTCTCGAAATTTTATGTTATTTTTTTTTAAAAAAAAACAATTTCAATATGCTTATATATTTTTATTTCTATTTAAAAAAAAACAAAACAAAAAAACAATTTTTTTTATAAAGCTATTACGTGTTCATGAGTTTATTTTCCATTTTTTTCCGCCGACTTTGTGCTTTTACG